ATGAAGCAGAACTCCAGTGTAGTTTGGCTTGCTAATAAACTCTGGTTGAGACTTCCTCCTGAAGTATGAAATTGACCTGTTTAGTTGGAAAGGTACACTCAAAAGTATGTCCCATTAAGTTCAATGAACCTTACTCTTAGGAATTTTTTATAAGACACCCTAGCTTAGAGATATTTCCCAATATTGGGAGTATTGGAGTGAGTGTTTGGGCCCTCTACTTAATTCTACATTAATTTCTAATGGCAGCCAATGCATGGTGACTTTGTGCATATGTGACATTGTGAAACGTATATTGATCATGAAGAATCTGCTATATGTGAAAATAGTAATTAGTTATAGCTTGTATTTTGGGAAATCTTATAAACTAAACTTCTTGCATTGTAGTTATATTTTCTGCATACACTGAATTTTAAGACTTGAGGGCTGATGTTTGCCCTGCATTTCACTATATACATGGATCTTATTTATTTATTTAAAATTTAACCTGGAGAAAGCTGTGGTATGCTGTCCAGGTTAGGCTCACAAATTTATCTAGGTTTGCTTCTCCTTCTGAGAGAAAGCCTCTTTCAGAGGTCTTTATTTAATCATTAAAAGTAAATATATGCTGCCTTTCTGAAACAAACTGAAGATATACAAAAATTCAAAATGTAGAATTGTTGGATTAAAAAATTAAAAACGTTAAAACAGTTATGTAAACCAAGTTAGAAGATGGGAATCAGGCACAGCTCCAGGGGAGGTATATTCCAGAATCTAGAAGCCAGACAAGAGAAAAGCATTTTCTATTTGCCCAGTTAGGCAGGCCTATGCACGAAAGAGTGTTTTCAGTGGATTTCTCCTAATGATTTTAATAACCCTAACCCTTTCCCACCCTCATGCCCTCCATGTGCTTTGGGCTACCACAACCAACTTTGGTCATGTTGGAAACTAATACTGTGTATGGGTTGTGCCTATCCTATGCCCTGCCAGCAAGAGCCGAGCAGGGCAAAAGAAAGATAAGAACATAAAAACCATTTTGGGTCGGACCAAATATCCATCTAGGCACTCTATACACATAGTAGCAAACCTGCTGACTGCATGATGCCTCAAGCAGGATAGATGCAAGATCTTTGCTTGCCAAACTCTTCAGCAACTGGTGTATGCAGGCAAGCCATCTTTGGTAAAGGAGGTAGCAAATAGCCAGTAAGGCTAGTAGCCACTGATAGCCTCCTTCACAAATGTGTCCAATCCCTTTTAAAGCCATCCAAATTGTTGGCCATTGACACTTCCATGGTAGCTCATTCCATAGTTTAATTATACATTGTGTGAATAAATACTTGTTTCATTTGTCCTAAACTTCCCATCAATCAGAGACAATTTCACCTCTGTTCTTCCAGTTCAAATACAAAAAGTAGCTGTAGGTCATTGGACCTGACTAGCTGAATTACCTTTCAGTAGGAGGGAACTAGAGAGGCCATAGTATACTGTGTATCTGGCCTGTCCCTTCGCTTCTAACAGCACATCCTCTTTGCTTCCTTTTCAATTGTGATGTTGCAAGAGAAGCTTTCTTTTGCACTTGTAGCTCTGTCTGTGCTCACAAAGGAAGAGATCTGCAGCATCCTATGGTGCCCCGGATGCTATCTAAGAGGTACAGGGTTGCTCTTGAAATTTTAAAAAAAAAATCTCATCTGATTGCTGGCATCATACCCAGATGTAACTGTTTTTTGTTGGCAGGCAACTTTTCCCCCCATTGTCACTTTCAAGTATTGCCTGTATTAGTTACTGATGTTGCCACCTTTCTGCCAGCCAACATTAGATTCTATTGCTACCATTTTAGAAGAAAAGTTGTTTCTTTTGGATTGGAAGAATGATGTGGATGATCTCCAAAGGACATTTGACAGTTTCATTTTTATATGTCTGGGTGTAATATAGCAAGTAAAGTATGTACAGCATTTTAATGTTTTCGTAATATTGAGCCCCAGAATGTCGTTCTTTTTTAAAGTCATTATGAATAAATGTATACCCCTTTCTAAATTTCAGAAGGGTGATGCTTGAACCAAACTTTAAACATGTGAAAATAGGCTACAAAAGTAACAGTTTAGTTATATGAAGGTGTGATGTCTATAAAAATAACCATGTTAGAAATGGGTTATTCATAGTCTTAACTAAACTACAGCAATTTTGCCTTTGCATATAGTCCTCAACTGGCAGTTAACAAATTTTAATAAACACATGGTCTTACAAAATTTACTTTAAGTTCAAGTGAAATGTCTCCTAAGTTTTATAGATTCTTACCTGTGTTTCTAAAAGCTTGAAAGTATTGGTTATAACAAGGATTCCATATCTGAACTGGAAGTCAGCAGTGATCTCCTCTATAAAAGTTAAAATTAAAAATGTTTATGTTTTTATGGGGTTTATACTTTTAGATGAGCATTTCCTAAATTCTGGAAAGTTAGCCTCCTTTCAGGCAATGAAAATGAAGCTCCATAATTTAAATTGATTTTACACCCTATTTTGGTGTGTGGAAATGTCATAAACATTTGATAATTTGAATTCATACTTTGAAAAACCTTTATTAGTTTTAACAAGTTAAGATTTGGTGCTTTATTACCAATAGACTGTAAATGTATATTCTAGTTTTCCAACTCGCTGTTGGAGTGCTCCAAATTGTCTTCCAGTGGTCTTTCCTTACAAAATTCCAGGTGGGTGTTTACAAAGCTTAAATTATTTTTCATGTAAACCTCAGTGCTGTTATTAGTATCTCCTCCAGATGTTTTGGTCTCCAACCCCCAGAATTCTTAACCATTTGGTATGTTGACTGGGGCTGGCGGGAGATAAGGTCCAAAATTTCTGGAGAGCAGCATTTATAGGAAGCCTGAGTTAGATAACTGTCACTGCCAATTGCCTTCACAGTGAAATGATCATGAAACTGCTGCATGCTGAATTATTCAGACCAATATTGATATTGGCCTTGATCATATATAAAAGTTGTATCCAGTTTGAAAGCTAAGATGCTTCAAAATTTTTCAGAGCAAGCTTCTGCAAATTAAATAGCTTTGGCTTTCTTCCTGCCACAGAAGCAGGGCAACATATTGGGTCTGTATGGTTATGTTATGTTATGTTATGAAAGATCCTTCCAACTTTATTTATACAATTGCAATTATGTTTTCATTTATACAATCATGGGGGAATTTTCTCCTTTTCCATTACAGTCAGTGTAGTATGCGCTGAGAGAACTATCAAGGTGAACCTATTGTCATCTAACTTTCCTCTTGAATGGTTAATATGTACAGTAGATGCACTAATATGAAATAGTCACAGATGAACTTACGGGATGAAAAATAGTATCAGTTGCATTAATAATCAAAATGGAAATTGAATCTGAGAAAGCAAAAGAAAGCAAGCAGAATGATAAGTGAGAGCCCTTGCACACAGTGCAAGAAGTGGGGGGCTTCCATGGAACTGTCTATGTTACAAACTGCAGCCTTAGGAATATGTATATTCAAATTGTCTTGAGTGCCCATGGCTGTTTAGGGAGGTTTGCTTCATAGCATGAATAAACTAGTTTGAATATCCAAGTACAAAGAGAAAAGTGGGTGTTTTGTATACATTAAATCACTGCAGAACATTTGGATATATTAAATTAAGATTCCTTGGCAGGGGGTTTGTTTAATACCTTCTTGTTTAAACTGAGGTGCTATTGGCTAATATTCAAGCAATTTGAGGATAGATTAATAGTGATATTAACTTCCATGCAATTTTAACAGCAGAATGCTACCTTCCAAATCATGAAATAGAGATTTGTTATGATAATACTTTTGGGAAAGCTGCAGGTGTGTCTCTAAAACACAATCCAAGCATATACATGCATCTTTAGCTAATTATATTCAATCTAATTTTTAGCCCAAATGGCAACTGATACGTTTCTAGTTCTTTCTTATAATCCAGTCATGGCTCCTGTAATCATTGCCAGGGATTTTAAAGTAGTACCACCACCTCAGTCTCACAATTCTGTGCTTTATGTAGTATTCCTGACAAGCTCTCAAGAGACTATAAGGTCAGATATTTGAACATTAGTACCAACACCTTTCATTTAAGTGGCCACTAGAGGCTGCCACAAACAGCACACATGTCTCAGCCTTAGCTTGTAAATAGTGTTAAGTTCCATGTCTTGGAATCAAAGTAGTTAGATGTTAGGGTGAGCTGGCATTATTTTGATTCACAGACTTTAAAAAAATAGCTAATGGAGGCATATTTGTTCCGTTTTTATCAGTTTCTTTGTATTAAGACCATAAGCCTGATCAGTTTAGTGAAGGAAATATTCTAATGAGTGGGGGAATAGACATGTAATGATGAATTAATGAGACCAACAGGCACTACCTTTTATATAAAAATTATTGGAAGAAGGATGTGATTGAAGGATGGAAATAGTGGTGCTAGGATAGGTTCAGTTTTCCTTCCAAAATCTGCTGTTAGAATACTTTCATCTGTTTAATGTACTTCATTAACTACTTTATGCTGTTACTTGAATACAACAAATTAAATTTTATTTAACTTAATAACTGAAAAAGCTACTTTGAAGCAACATTGTTGGTTTTGTGATTTTAAACTAAAGTATGGTAGAGTTCTTTAAAAAGATTCAGTCTCGCTGTTTTTTTTCTAAGCTACCACCACCTGTTGTGACAGCTGAGGCATTAACACTGATGGACATGAAGTGTCTTTTCATACTCTTTCTTGGTGGTTTTTCTTTCTTTCTTTCTTTCTTTCTTTCTTTCTTTCTTTCTTTCTTTCTTTTTGAAGCAAAAGGCAATTTTGTATAAGTAGTGACATAATGCATGGATGGCTGTTGCATTAAATTTTGGGGCATGAACTGTTTCAAATTGGCCTTAAATTTGGTAGTGCTGATAAGCATGTGTAGACAAAGACATTTTAGAAGTGCCAGTTTTTCAAAAAGATGTGCTCTAAGCTGAAAAGGATATGATTTTTAGCAGGTTGTCATAAATTTTTTGGTTTATATCCAACAGGAGCTCCATAGTTCTTTTTTGGAATGGCTTGGAAGAAATGTGAATGCAGATGGATTAATTAGATCCAGCAAAGTGTCCCTTAAGTTTGTATCATCTTGCAGCAAAGAGATAGAAGTAACACCCTTGTTGATGCCAGTAGTTACTGAAATGGCAGCTTTTTCCTCTGAACATTTCTGCCTGGAGAGGTATAAGGAAAATCTACACACAGAGAAACTTGGAAAAGTGGTTCTCTTTGCTGAAGTTACATCAACCACAATGAATCTCCTTGATGGGTAAGAGTACATACCAGTGATAATTTCACTATGTAGCTATTGTATTTATTGCTTGGCAATAAGAAAAAAGTTCATGCATTCTTATTTAATATTTTATTTACCAATGTTTATAAATTGCTTGCATTAAAAAGACATTTCTTAGTGATATACTGTCAATACATTATAAAACTATAATAAATCCTGAATAAAATTTCATAAGACAGTAGCATGACAACATGGAAGACAAGATCACCACTCTGGGAAAGCTTGTTGGAATGAGGAAGTTTCCCTCTGAAAACTCAGAATAGCCTGTACTTGTCTAGTATTGGTAGAGAGTTCCAGAGAGTGGACACTATGACACTAAGATCCCTATCCCAAGTTATCATGTACCAGACCCCCCCAATATCAATCAAACAGACAAGTAGGAAGGGAATTAAGCATATATACTGCTCTTGAGTTCTTTAAGGGTTTGTAAAGCTTACACCTGGCCCACCAGTAGAGCACCAACCAGTGCAGTTTCCTCACCATAGGTGTAATGTGCAGGGGACTACCCATTCCTTTCATCAACATGGTATTCTGCATCCACTGCAGCTTCTAGAATAATTTGAAGTGCACCCCACATTTTTGAGATTACCAAAATGCCTGAACCACATTGGTTGAGCTATCCATGTTGAGGAATAGTCCGTAGTTGTCATACCACCTGAAGCTGGCAAAAGGCACTCCAGTTAACAGCACAGCATTAGGTCGGAATCACCTCTGGCATAAAGGAGGATGGACTTTTACAGTCCATAGAAGTTCAGAACTGTGAAGTGACGCATCATGTATTTTTCTAAATAATGATTTTTTAAAATATGATTCACTATAATACAGCCCCTCTATATTTTGTGCACTTAAATCTTCTGACATGCAGCTGTCACAGGAAAAGCTTGAATTCATGATATAATAGCTATGCAGCAAGCCATACAAGAATGCAGGTTTTCACATTGCAAGATAGTGGGTTTTTCCCACATGAGATGGCCATGGTAGTAGAGGTTTTGTCTTTCAATGTGATCCTATTTCCAAAATGAGCTTAGGAAACAATGAGCAGGGTAATGTACTGGGTACTTCATTTGGCTGTTTTGATCATCTTAAATTATATTTTCCTTTCTGAAATTAAGTTTTCTTTCTAGCAATAGTTATTTTAAAATTTAGACTCAAATACCCAGTCCCACTCTATTTCAGCCACTGGAGAAGTCCAGACAAAGCATAGTACCCTAGAGCAGGCTTGTATTATGGCCTTGTACCATGGTCCTCCTGGCAGAACTCCTCCTGCAGTCCTTGCACACTTTGCATCCATGTCTGGTTGTCGAAGCTGTGGGGCAGAAACAAATCCTTCATGATATATTTAATACCTGTCTGCTGCTGTGACCGAGTAGTTAGGAAACTGATTATTTGCCATATAGGTTTGAGTTCCAGAAAGTTATCCTGTAACATGACCTTTCCAGGCAAACAAAAGGTGAATGGGGATATTTCAAACTTTTACCATGATGGAGCTTGAATACACATTTGTTGCTTCCCAATCTTTTGCAGTGAACAAATGGATATTACTGCTGTGTGTGTGTGTGTGTGTGTGTGTGTGTGTGCGCACACACACACACACTAATTGCATCTCCCAATTCATCCTCTTGGCTGCTTGGTAAAAGAGTCTTTTCCTCTCTCAGTGGATTTTTGAACCCTTACCCCAGGACAGCTATGTCCTGCATGGAGAACCATGTAGATTCTGATATATGTGAATTATCCTTCCTTCCCTTTTGTGTTGTGATGCAAAACAGTGGTTGTGAAGACCATAAGTGAATTAGAACTTATGCCTTTAGGGATACCTGGGATTGACATGTAGTGGAATTGTTGTTGATGGGGCTGATGGCTTGAGGATGATTTGGTATCATAGTGCATGTTGTGATGACGATGCAGGAGTGAGTGCTGCAGGTATATCTCTCATCATCATGGTATTTATTGACTTCCTCCATGCTTGAATATCAGATGGGTATCAAACAGTCCTTGTCAGGTATACACTGGTAGAGTTTGTTGGGATGCCATGAGTGTTGGTGTCATTTTTCAATTATCTTGTATGTTTTGTTATGTTATTCTCCATCTTTCTTCCAGTGCAAAGACACATCACGAGCTGCTCTGCTGGCATAGTAATGTTGCATCTCCTCGTTCCACATAATATGATCATAGGAGTGCTCCATTAAATAATTGCTCATCTTTTCAGTATTGAATACAAAAGTGGTATTTGTTGTTATACCGAAAAAAATGAAACTTGATACTTGGTATGAATATTTGTGCTATATCTCATTAGACCATGTGGGTTTCAAACCCCATGGCACTGTTTACATAAGCTAGGCATTCACTTTAAGCATATAAGTTAAGTTCTTGGTTGAGTTGTGTAATAAGTGAGCAGTCATTTACGTTCAGTGATACCTAAAATGGAATTGCATTGTTACTTAATTATGGATTTTAAGGGTGTGTTAAATTGTATGATGGTTGCTTTAATATTGAGATAGACTTAAATGAACAATAGGAGACTCAGTTATTTAATTACCTTTGTTGTAGAAAATCCAAACTACTTCCAAACCTATATGAAGTCTTTGGTGTAAGTTTAAGAGATGTGTTTGTATGAATTGTGCCATGTAATTCATCCTTCCATACTAAATGGATAAGTTCTTTAGATGAATAAAGTGTTTCATTCTGTGTGGGATGTTCTAAGTCTTCGGAAAGGTGGTGCAAAATATTAATGCTGATCTAAAGTTATCATAGAAATAGTCTAGAAGAACTTTATAAACATAAATGTACACATGCTGATGAATATGTGAAACTGGTATTCACAGTATTTTTAGGCAAGGCACAAGCCAATGTGTTAGAAAAAAGAATATCCTACAACTCCCAGCATTCCCCGGACAGCCTATGCAGAGTTATAGAATTTTTTCCTGCTAAATATGTATAGGGTAACTTAAGGGTAACATATATTTTAATAGGAGTCATTGTAACTACTGTAGCAGTTTTAGCATCACATTTTTATGTATTCTAGACCAGATGTAAGCAGGTATAAACATGGCCACAACCTGGCTGGGAGATTATTTGTGCTCCCCATGTAGAATTCTTGGAGGGAAAGTGATATATGTATTTATAAATAAACTTATGATCTATCCCATTTGTATGTGAGAAGCTGGGAGAGAGCAAGCAGTGAACTATTGGGATCAGCCAGTTCTCCCGTAGCTCTCAGTCTTGCTTATCACTTCTCTGTCCCTTTCTCTCATTGTTCAATCATAGCACCTAACAGTTGCACTCTTTCCATGACCAAGGATTACACATGAAAGTAATCCAGTTCTTAGTTCCTGTATAAAGGAACCTGTATTTGCCTAGGGAAAGAGTGCACCTGTCAAGTGTCATGACTTAGCAATATGAGAGAAGAGAAAGAATAGAGAAATTGGCTGACCTATCCTTGGTCTCCTGTTATCTCATGTGCTTTGCTCTGGCACAAAAGAAACACATTTAATCTAACTAGATAATCCATGCAATGCTGTTTTTATTTCTTGAGTGTTCATCCTTTCTTTTTTCAAAATAAGCAAAAACTTTTGTAAGAAAAACATTTTTATTTCCCTTTTTTCCATGGTAAGGAGAACTGTAGGAAAAACTCTAGGGTTCAGTTTCACTAAAGTAGCTCAAGTGCCAAGTGTATTTTCAGTGAAAACAACAAACTTTAAATCGTGGGTAGGAAACATGTGACCCTCCCCAGTTGTCACACTACAATTCCCCATATTCCTGGCCATTGACCATTCTGGCTGATGCGTCTGGTAGTAAAAGTCTAAAATTTCTGAGGGACACCAAGTTGAGGAAAGCTGATCTATGGGATTGTGAGTTGAAATAATGCACTGATTATTTGGTGAAACTGCTTGCTTTAGTGGATTAGTCTTGAATGATATGCTTGTTTAAACGGAAAACAAAAATCGCTCAGGGTTTGCAGTACAAACACACACACGTAAGCTGTTTAAGTATGGCTATTAGATATTTCTATTAGTAGCATGAGTTCAGTTTGAGAACTGAAATGCTATTTTAGGAGTATCTGAGGACTTGGATATGGCACTTGGTTCTTGATTAGATGTTTTTTCTTTGAATATCAGAGCCCCCATATGCCATATCATCATTTGGCTCCTCCTCTCAATTTTGAAAGCAGTTCACTATGTAGCACACAGCACTGGTTTCTCTGTGGTGTTTCACACAAACTAAAGTTTAGTATTACAACAATCAGCTGTGAGCCTTGGGCTTCCATGCTTCTCCCCTGCCCTGCTTCTTTTGGCATGGCTGCAAGGAGGAGATTTGAAGCCTTCACTTTAATTTTAGGTTATCCACTTTAGCATTATATAGTTGTTTTATTGAGTCCTAACTTTTTTATTATTAATTATTCTTAGATGTTTTAAATTGAGTTGGGTGTTTTGTACACTAAATAATTTATATTATGATTTTTAATGTTGCATGTTAGATAGTAATCTTTGAACTGCCTGTTGAGCTTTGGCTTTTGACTGGTATACAAATGGAATGACTTAATGAATGGAATGTATGAATTATAGCTACAATATAAACTGTGACTAATTTTGTTTTATTAATTGGGATATGAAATTGGCTTTTTTCTAGTAACCATAGTTAAGATTAGCTGACATTTGTCCAGATATGAATGTCATGCCAAGTGATACTCTGAAACAAAAGCTTCTGAATGTTTGCTCCTTGTGGTCACACTAGAGAGGGGATTGCAAGGGAATTCAAGCCATGCTGCAGTTCATACTTAGAAAAGTAAATCCATCATTTAATATCATGTGTGAACTAAGTTTTTGAGAGGTACAAACACAACATTATACAGAGCTTGTTGTGCACTTTGAATTTTGGCCTAGAGCTATAGGAGAAATATAACAAGCATAGAATTCAGTAAGGATTAAGGTTGTAGTCCTTAGCATATTCATATTTGTCAAAAAAATGTATTCCTCTTT